CTACTAGAATGGCCTGCTAAGCTCTGTTTATATGCTTGATGACTATCTTAATTCCAAAGTTCCAGAGTCTTCCATGAAATAAAAAACAAAAATATGGTCAGGTTCTTCGGGCAACAGCTCACTCTCTGTTACCAACTTCTGTATTGGTTTCTTTTCTGTTGCTGTGATAAAATGCCATAACCCAAAATGACTTATGGAAGAAAGAATTTACTATGACTTATAGTTTCAGAGAATCCATAATGGTGGGGCAGATGGACAGAGTAGGAAGCTGGGAACTCACATCTTTAGCTGTAAACAGGAAGCAGGGAAGTAAACTGGGGTAAGGCTATAAATATGGCTCACCCCTAGTGACATGCTTCCTGCAGCAAAGCTCCAGGAGGTTCCATGACCTCCCCAACACTGCCACCAGCTGGGGACCAAGTGTTCAAATACTTAAGCTTATGGGGGACATCTCTCATTAAACCACCACACAGTCGATCCCCAGAGAGAGCTGGCTAGCAAGACTAGCCGTATTGGCAAGCATTGGGCTTGAGAGAACCTGCCTCAGTGAAGTTTCTCTCGATGGAAGAGTGATCAAAGATGATTCCTAACATCAACCTCAGGTCTCCCTACACACATTGCACATGTGTGCCCACACATATACAAACATACATACATGCACACCACACACATGAAAATGGAAAAGGAAATAGTAAACAACTGGTTAAATATAAAAGGCTACTCTTTCTTAATTTAGAAAAATGCAGTTATGCTCAAGGGTAAACGCTGCAGCCTTGTCAGATGGACTTTGAGATGCATGTAAATAGAAAACAAAGGGCAGCAGCTGGGGCCATGAGTGACCGCCAGGCCTCTGCTTCTTACGCATAGTGGTACGTCGACTCTAAATGGACTGTGCAGTGTTACAATCCCAAAGAGAAACAGCCAAAAACATGACACAGAAAGGTACAATGCATGTAGAGATATGACTCTTCTGTCCCAAGTGGGTCTACAGTCTGGATCTTCTCAGCTGCCATTATTGGGCACCTACCACTCTGAGCACAGTTCTTCACCAAAAGCCTTGGACCTATTCCATGAGATGTGGGGCCACTGGGGAAGGATAGTTCTACAACCAAAGTCACACCCCAGGGATAGATAAAGTGACTATTTGGTGAATTGGAAATGCCAGACCCAGGGCTGGGGAAGTGGCTTTGTTGGTAAAGCACTTGCCTTGCAAGATTAAGAACCTGAGATCGATTTCTAGGACTCAAGAGAAGAAAGACAGGGGTGGTGGCACACCCTTGTAATTCCAGTGTTAGAGAGGCACTTAGGTGGATCCCTGGGGCTCAGCGGCTGGCCAGCCTTGCCTATTGTGTGAGATCAGGCCAGTGAGAGACCTGGTCACAGGGAGAAACAAGGTGGACAGTACCTGAGGGACAAATACCTCATGTCCTCTGGTCTTCACAAAGACACACATCCATGTTGCACCCACATGAATAGGTACACACATGCACATAGACATAAACATCGAAGGAAGGAAGGGGAAAGGAAGAGAGGGAGAGAGAGAAGGAAGGAAAAACACATAATTATGAAATCAGATTGTTACTCTCTGAGGAACTTTCAGGAGAATGTCTTCCAGAAAAATCCTAAGGATAGGGCTTGACTGGATAACGGATTTTCAGGAGGTTCATAGCTTTGCTGAGTTCCGCTATACTGTGAGGTGCTGGTAAGTACTGAGATGAGTCTACTGCTGTGTTTGTCGGAGACTAGAGTGGTACAGGGACGCCTGAGGGAGACTCTGCATTTCTCCCCAGCAGCTCGCAGCCTGCACATGCATGCTCTGTGATGCTCCATGCCCCGGGGAACTGCACACCCAGCCCATTGGACAGGCTGCTTGAGGCTACCCTGTTCCCTCATGTTTCACAACCCTCCAGGCTGGGAAACATTTGCCTACAGAAATTTCCCTCCTCTCTGTTGCATATGTTTTTGTGAAAGGACTAAATAGGAAGAATTCGAGATGAATAATTCATGTGTGATTGTTTTCAAAATATGAAGTTATTTTTTAAGCAAGTGTCCCATCTGTTCATTCTGAGTCCCATGACCTCTGGGTGCTTCTGCATGGGACACAGCTTCCTATCTAAAAACCCTACCTGATGCTGGAGAGGCTCTTCCACAGAGCTGGGCCTGGAAATGCATGCAGATGATGCTACAGATGGCAGAGTTCCCAATCACAGGAATTCAGCCTTGGAATTCAGCCCCTCCGCAGCAATACCACAACCCTGCATTGCCCCCTCACTTGGCTCCCAGACCTGCCACAGCACACTGTGACCTGCTTACTGTTGATCTGTGCACACATGCACATGTGCATGTACACACACACGGCGGGGGTGCCAAGACTAGGCCCCACTGATGGGCCAGGAAGGATACCACCAACCTTCATGCTGTTCATAAAAAGCCACGGCTGCCAGCTCCCTGGGTCTGCTTGCTGCAGAAAGATGCACAACACCAAAATAAAAGTGTGAACTGGCCTGTGCTGGCTGATCTAGACAGTCAGGAGGTTCAGAGGCTGAGGCCAACGCTGAGCACTCCACACTATGTCAGAGCTGAGGTGGGGAGACGCTGGGTCCTGAAGCTTCAATGGGAGACGGGGGATTGGCTCGGGAGGGGACTTGATCAAAGTTCTTCGGGGGCTCCCTGTCTCCTCCCATTCAGTAGAGTCACTAAGACTCTGATTAGCCCTCCCTGTGTGGCTAGGTGGGATACCTGAGAGGGTGCCAGGGCTCTAGGGCAAGCAGCTCCCTATTCTTCCTCCATTCCAGTCCACTTACTCCAACAGCGAGGGTCATCGAGTTGGTTAGTGACCAGAACTAGGTGTGAGCTGCAGCCGGGCCAACCTCCTAGTCAAGTGACTGGGTACGCAGGTAGTCTTTGTTGTCAACCTGATGCAAATAGACAAAAAGGAGGTGAGGGATTTCCACCGCCAACCTGGCCTTTGATGGATGTCTGTAGGCCATTTTGTTGATAATTGATGCAGGAGGACCCAGCCCACAGAAGGCGGTGCCATCCCTAGGCAGGTGGGCCTTGGTGGTGTAAGAAAGGCAGCCGAGTGAGCCAGGGGGAGCAAGTCAGGGAGCAGTGTTCTGTGATCTCTGCTTCAGTTCCTGCCTCGATGACGGGCTGAAATATGTAAGCTGAAATAAACCCTTCCTTCCACAAGCTGGTTTTGGTTGGTGTTTTATCACAGCAACAAAAAGCAAACTAGAACACCAGGGCAAGGCCTAGCCTGGATTTCTGGATCTTTCTACTAGGTTAGAACTCCTTTCTCTGGGCTTCTAATAAGATGAAATGAGATTTACACAGTATGGGTAGTGTGTGTGTGACACAGGCACAGTGCCCAGCATGCAGTCAGGAAGCAATGTCACACAGTGAGGGTGATATAACGGGGTACTGCCCCACTGTATATCCCCTTCCTGAGCCTTGGTCTTATCTGCCCTCTGCTCTGGAACTTATCCTGGCTTGGTGTAGCACCAGAACCTTCTGACTGCATTAATCCAGGTCCAGGTTTTCCCCACCCCCATATGATCCTGAGAAAATGTGGGCATCCAATGGCATGGCCCTGAAACCCCTTTCCCTTCCTGAGGCACAAGCCAAGCCAAGGGAACAGTGGTGTGGCACACAAGAACATTCAGATAAGGTCAACACTCCACAGAGCCTGGGCTCTGCAAGCTACTGCTCAGTAGGGCACCTGCCTCCTGCTGGTGTGCGGTGCCCGCTGCTTCTGGGTGAGGGGCCATACAGGGACAGATCTGGCTATGGCTGGTGCCTGAACCAGGGCATCTGTCCTGTGAGCCCTCTCCCTGTGGTGGCCAGTTGGGGGTGCAGTGGAGAAGATGGGCACAGCTTGCACTGAGTGCCTCTGGCCAGCGCCCCTGGACCTTCCCTGCCCTGCTGTTCCCATTGTTCCTTGTGGACCCTCTGTTGGCAGATTTCTCTAAAGCTTATACCTCACATGCCACCTCAGGTGTCTAATCTCAGCCACATACCCTGCTGTTCCTGTGCAGCGGGGTTGTGGACAGTACATACACTGATTTTCTCCACAACCCTCAGCACTCTTGGCCTCCAACAAGCCTCCCACAGGCTTGACTGTCCCTGCTGGGCTCACCCTCCCACCCCCAGTACACAGCCGCATTCTGAACCTGGAGTCTGTGGCCTTTGTTGGAAGAACAGGTCTCTGTTCTCACTTGGTGTGTGAACACGGGGTGGGTGGGGTGGGGGCGCAGCAGGGCTGATGTTTTCCATCACCCGTACCAGTCCCACAGCGTCCCTCTGTGAGGCCCTTCCAGGTAGGCAGCGTCTGGGATGTCAATAGCCAGCCATTGACTCAAAGGTCTCATCCACTCTAGAGCAGCCAAGCTCACCTAGGAAGCAGCTTGGGGTGATTCTGTCCCAGTGTTTGTCCCACAAGGATGGGTGTTTGCTCAGTTGCACCCCCCCCCCGGCAACATACAGAAATGGAACGTGTGTGTTTGTGTGTGTGTGTGTGTGTGTGTGTGTGTGTGGTGTTGAGGTTAAGTGGCCAGAAACCACCTTCAAAAAATGAACTCACACAGGGGTAGGCAGAGGTGCCTGTGGGTGCCCCTCTATCATAAGATCACATGGCTTTCCCTTGTACTGTGGGTCATGACAAAACATCAGGGGAAATTTTTTCCTACATGTGTGAATGAAAATAACTTGTGAGACTCAGAGGCCACGGAAGGGATGGGTGTACTCTGGCACCTTGGTTGGCAGGGCCTCAGGAAAGGGTTGCTGGCTGGCAGTGCCCGGGTGTCACGTGGTCAGCCTCCTTTGTTCTCTCAACAAACAGGCCTGTATCTCAGTCCAAGGGACACAGGGAGACTGGCCCCACCCTCAGCAGCTGTGGGGGTGGGCAGACAAGTAGCAATGGCTGCTGGAGCCTGCGGCAGAGCAGAGCAGTGTCACTTGGGACGACCTAATGCCTGCCCATCGCGCCCTCTTTCCCCCAGGTCCTGGAGGGCAGTGGGATGCCAATGGATGACGATCAGTATGCGATGCTGGCCGACAAGGTAGGCTACAAGAAGGAAGGGATGGGCTACCTGGACTTCAGCACAGGATTCGAAGGTAGCTAGCAGCCAGGCGTACGTGTACCCGGCCTCCATGGGGACTGGTGGTGGTACCACAGATCTTTCCTGACAGTGCCACCAGTCTGCTCTGGTCACAGCTGCCCCGTGCAAGGTGGAAATCCCGTGTGTTCTAGGACTAGGTCCATCTTTGTTCTAGAAATCCTTGCCTGATCTTATCTGTGTTTCAGTCTTTTCTTCACCAAGTGAAACAGAATTTTGCAAGTGGGACTTGACCTGAGCCTCCTGCAGACTTAGAGCACAAATGATCCAGAGAGTGTACCCCACTAAGAGGGTGTACCCCACTCCCTGCTTTTCAGACCCACTTCACATCCTCTAAGAATTTCCTCTGCAAAATATGGTTATCTGACAGCTAGGGATGTAGCTCAGTAGAGGAGTGCGTGCTTGACATGTACAAGGCCCTGGGTTCGAATCACAGCATTGGGAGGCAAAAAAACCCCAAAACTCCAAAAGATGGTTATCAGTAATTAACAGCACACAGATGAGGTGATGCTGTCCCCTACCAGCATTCTAGAACACTCAGTGATGTGCCCCTACCCCCAAAGGTCCTTAGAAAGTTAGGGAGCCTATTTTGTGTCATGAAGTAAGGTGGAGCAGGGCTGGGTCACCCCCTCCCGCTCTCTGGCAGTTGAGAACAGACAGGATGGTCTCCCCGAGAGCAGGGCCAGCTGGGTTTCTGGCCCTTTCAAGTTGTGGTGCTGCTGCTTTTCCTCTGTTCCCAGCTCCCTGGCAGAGCTGCCAAGCACACAAGGCCACCGAGCACACTCACTGCTGCATGTGCTCTGCAGGGTGGCCGGCCAGGCAGCCCAGTGAACCTACGTGTCCCTTCTCCTGGCACTGGCTATGGGAGGTACATCATCTCTGGAGAGCCTGCCCCATCAACACTGCTGCATACACGCCGCCAGACTCTAGTTTGCCAACCAAAGAGACAGATCCCACTCTGCGGAAGGCACTGCTCAGCTTGGGTATCTTAGATTGCTGACTCCTTCTGGGGTGTGTGTCTGGACATCTGGGAAAGAAGTAAAGGAAGGGAAGGAGCCCCTGTGTCTGCAGAGAAGGCACCCTCCTCTCAGGACACAAGTGGGTCATTTACCTGAGCTCTGAGATGGTGGGCCTCACCCCGCCCTCTCCTGGAGGACCCACTTGTTACTACAATAGTACCCTGGAGTGTGTAGCCCAGCCTTAGGCAAGACCACAGTCACATGACCCCAGTCTTAGAGGAGAAGGAATGAAGAGGATGTGATCACTGACCAGTGAGCTCTGGAAGTGCCTGCTGTGTAGTCCTGGGTGCTGCCTGGGGCAGTAGGGACCCTGGTGATGCATCCTTATGCTGCAGAGACTCTTTATCTATGTGGTTGGAAGGATCTCACTTTAATATACACCCCCCTCAGGCCTTACCCACTGAGGCATGGTCACGTGAGCTGCAGTGGGCTCAAGGTCCATGCTCTGATTCAGTCCACTTACCAAACAAGTGCCACATGCTTACCATGTCCCAGAATCTGTGCTAAGTGCTGGGGTGGCAGAACTGCTCCCTGCTCAAGTCCCCAAGTGGTATATGACTGCCCCTGGCTGATGCCTAACAGATGGTAAGGAAGACTGCTGAGTTAAAGAGAGCAGGGATCCAATTACACATCCAGTCCTTAGGACCTGATCCCAGACACCAAAGATAGGCAGAGGGGCTCCTTTGGCCCTGGAGTCAGGAGAGGGATGTCAGAGGCTTGAAAGAGGTGCATATGCCAAGGGCACCACCGGTGCCACGTGTCCCCAAGGTCTGGGGACCAAGCAAATAAGAGCCTTTCTAAGACATGGAGGGAGGGAAAGGACACAGATCTGACTGAGCAATGCTATGTTCGAGCCACGGGATTTGATCCCCACATAGATTAAACTTAATGGGATTCGAGAAGGGAAAGAGCCAGCACTGAAGGACATGTAGAGAGATGGGTGTGGTGCTGATGGATGCCCCCCCATTCACTTTCAGATACTAAACTAATTGTGCCGGAAACAATTCCACTGCAGACACATGCTGCCTCCAACCCTAACTTGGACGAACACTTCCTATCAGCTGAGGAGTGCCAGAAGCTCTTCCCCAAGAAGCTGAAGGAGTTCTTCGGGGTAAAGTGTGATGTCACTCCATCTCTGTCTCTAGGTCTCACCCTGCCCTCTACCCCACAGTTCACACCTGTGAGTCCTGGTACCCAGGAGGACATACAACTTTCCCTGGCAAGTCAGAGAGAGGGGAAGGCCTGGGGTGGGGTGGGGTGGGGTGGGGAGCCTGACTCTGAGAACCCTCCCAGTGAGAAGGTGCCCCCTTCACAGAGGGGCGTGGCCACCCAGGACACTGTGGACTTGGGGACACACATTACTCTCCCTCATTCACCCACCAAACAAGTGTGGCCTGTTCACTATATGCTGGAGTCAGTGTTTAATGCCGGGGTAGCAGATCTGTGCCCTGCCCAGAGTCTCCTCTGGTTCAACTCTCAGATAGAATGACAATTTATAGACACCATGGCAGGTTGCTGAGGTGTTGGTTGTGTGCTATGAGACCACACCCTTTAAGGTGGACTTCCCAGAGGAGGCCCTGCATTGACTGGGAAGCCCCAAACACGTGCTGGAAGGAAACTGAGGGAGTGAGCCACACGTAGGAGCTCGGTTCAGGCCAGGCGGGGATGGACAGGGCTTGGCTCCAGGGGAGAGGACGACAGTGTAGGTCACCTGCCCTCACATTGTGACATGAAACAGAAGAGGTAGACAGCAGCTGGTGCAAGGCAGAGGCGAGGGCCCTAGAATCTGCCGAGGTGTAGGCAGGGTTTAGAATGGAAGACAGATAAGCCAGATGAGCTGGACTGTGTGAGGGTGCAGGTCTTGGGTTGTGGAGGGGTGATGGATCCACCCTGAGTGGGTGGATGGATGGGTGGATGCACAGCCTAGAAACAAGGGACACAGAGGGATGGTGAGGAAGCAGGGGCATCAGAGACCTCTGTAACTTGGGGACTCCATGATACAGAGCCACATCGAGGTCCTCTGTGGCCCCTGAGGACTGACGCTTAACTTGCAGCTCACCTGAAAGCAGGACTGGCCAGGACACTTGCGTCGGTGTCCCACTGGCTGCACTGCTGCAGGTCTAGGCTTTTGCCCCCACATCCTGTCCCTTTAAACAGCAAACAGGCTGAAACAGACATCAGATAGGATCCTTGTAAACCTCTCTGCTCTGCGTTTCCATCTGCACAGTGGGCATCTGGCTCTGCAGTGTGGTCAGTCCACACATTTGGTGGCCCTGGTCAGCTACCACTTTGTTGTGAGTAGGACCTTCCTGTCTGCGCTTTCTTTTCCTTTGCCTGGTGGGTCTCCTCTCCTTTGGGGCCAGCAGAGGGACCCCTGCTTCCTGGCCTCCTTAAACCCTCAACCCCAGCCAGGTGGGTCTGCTTGTCCCTCGGGCACTCCGCCTGCTGTAACTGGACTAAGCCAGAGCACCATCATTCCTTCACCTCTGTCCTGGTTTCGTTCTCCACTGCTGTGACAAAACATGCTGACCAACACTAACTTGGGGAGGAAAGGGTTTATTCGGCTTACATCTCCGAGGTCACAGTTCATCAGGGAGCCCAAGGTAGGAACTCGGGGCAGGAACCTGGAGTCAGGAGCTGGAGCACAGGCCTTGGAGGAACGCTGCTCACTGGCTTGCTCCCTGGCCCCTGCTCAGCCTGCTCTCTTATACAACAAGGCCCACCTGCCCAGGGGTGGCACCACCCACAGTGGGCTGGGCCCTCCCACATCACTCAGCAATCAAGAAGATGCCCCTCAGACATGGCCATAGGCCAGTCTGGAGGCAGTTCCCCAATTGAGGCTCCCTCAACCCAGGTGTGTCAAGTCGACACTAAAGCCACTCACCACAGTACCCCAAGTGGCTGCTGCCCACTTGTCACGCGAGGTGACCAAGTCATAGGTGGTGAAAAAGTGAGGTTCCACTCCTTAATGCCAGTAGGTGAGCTGGAAGATTTGGGTTTTTAAATATTTTATTTATTATTTTTTATTTTATGTGTATGCGTGTATTGCCTCCACGGGTAAGTGCACCTGGGTCGTGCAATGCCCGAGGACAGAAGAGTCTGTCGGATCCCCTGGAACTGGAGTTATGGACCGTTATTAGCTGCCATGTGGGAGCTGGGATTCGAACCTGGGTCTTCTGCAAGAGCAGTCAGTGCTCTTAACCACTGAGCCATCTCTCCAGCCCAAACTGGAAGATTTGTATACATGGCCGTATCTGTCTGAATTCCCACCTACACTACTGAGTAGATATTAGAGAAACTGAGGGTCAGAGATGGATAGAAACTTACCCAGAGCCAGCTGCTGGCAGTCAGCACAGACAGGAACTGGAGGTGTATCTTTTCAGTTGCAAAACCTGCGTAATGATTAGGGGCTTTGTGCTGGGAAGGTGAGTACCGAGACCCCAGAACCTAGACCGCACCTATAGCACAGTGCTGAGGGCTGGAATGCTGGTCACACCTCACTGTGTGCTGTTACTTGCTTCCTGTCTTTCCTTTCCAGGTCACAGTGAGCGGGCCTTACAGCAGGACTTACAACAGTCTTCACTGTGGCCCTATATTCAGCAGAGGGTTGGCCACCTAAGAGATGCTCAGGCCTTACTTGTTCCCTCATTCACCCAACAGTTTGTTCATCCCACACATAAGTGTGGGCACTGCTCTGGGAGCTGGGGCTGGAGCTGAGCAGATAAGGGTCCAGGTCTTGTGCTTGTGAGGCAACTTGTAGGCAGAGGCAGGGGACAGGGATGGGGATGAGGTGGAAGCAAAGCTTGGCAGATGTTGTAACTGCTGAAGGAGGTGGGGATGGGGGGCTTGGGGACACATCCCAAGGCAGCCTTGGATGTTAGCAGCAGGAGGCAGGTGGAAAGGGATGGGTGTTCGGGGAGTTGGACTTGGAGGGAGACAGAGCACAGGAGCTAGGCACCCTGTGTGGCTGGGATATAGGGATGGCCTAATGAAGACAGGATGGCAGTCAGGAGTCTATGGGAGGTTCCTGAGGGATCCAGGGGCTGAGTAGGGCTGAGGTGGTTGGTGTGAAGGGCAGACTGCAGACCCACCCGCAACAAGCAAGCAGGATCTGTAACATAGACCTGGGGCAGGACAGGACGAATCAGGACTTGGGGGTGTGGTCTGAGCAACTGGAAAGAGCTGCTGTCTGCCGGGTCCGACTTTGACCTTGTTCAGTCTGGACTTCTCGGCTGTGGGTCTGGAAGGTGGGAGGCTTGGAGCCAGACTTAGAAGGAAGTAGTGAACAGGTGGGTCTGCAGTCCTACAAAGCCCTCTCCCGCCGGACAGCAGTGACTCTGAGGCAGGGCCAGAATGTTCTATGTTATCTCACACTATTTAGCATAGCGACTCTGCACGTAAATGTTTGGCAACTGAATCACTGAGCCAACTCAGCTAGAACTTTCTACAAAATCCCAAAGCATCTAATTTGACACTTGTGGGGGAGCAGGGTTGGCTTCATGTTCTGAACAACTCCTGTGGGGATCTGGAGCATGAAGGAGTCAGTGTGCACCTCCAGGAAGCTGGACAAATTCTCGGGAGGGCTGTGTGAGGGGACACAGGTGTGGGTCCACAGCCTCACACTGCTGTCTGGCTTCAGGCCACAGACATTTTAGCGCACTGACGGATCACTCCGGGCACTGCTGAGCCTGTGTGCAGTAGCATCTTAACTCCTAGTAACAGCTTCAGGGAGCCACTTTGTCTCCCCCCGTCTCACAGAAGACGAAATGAAACATGGCTGTCAGATTTGGAACACAAACTCACAAGTGGTAAGAGGCAGAGTCGGGATTTGTGACTCATCAGCCTGCTTCCAGGTACCCTTGATCAAGTCACAAGCTGCTGTGCCCCTTAGCTTCTTTCTTCGTGTGCAAAATGGGAACTCCAGGGCCCCTGTGGGCAGCACCACGGACAGAGCTAAAGAGGCTCGCTCAGTCCTCCGGCAGAGCCTGGGTCCAGGTGACTCAGTGAAGCCCAGCACAGGATTTGCTTATCTACAGAAGAAGTGGTCAGACATTCCAGGAACCTGTAAAGACATGGAGAGTGATAGCTTTAAATTCTCTAGGGAGCCCCAGCCCACTCTCCACACTTCAAGTCCAGGTGCCCTAACTGTCCCCACACTCCAGCTCCTCACTTTGAAAGAGAGGTCAGCATGCAGCTCCGACTCCAGGTGGAGGCAACTAGGGCCAGGCGCCCGGGAACAGTGGGGTCTCCATGGAGGAGCCGAGTACCACTAGTGGGGTGGGGGGTGACCATGAATGGCGGGAAGGTGCGGAAGAGAAGTTGATGTGTGTGTTTTGTTTCTAGGACCCCTTACTCTGCCTTCTTTAAAACAGACACTGACAGAGACGGTATAATCAACATGCGTGATCTTCATAGATTGCTGCAGCAGCTGCTGCTCGACATGAAGGATGACCAGTTTGAGCGTTTCCTCGGCCTCCTGGGCTTGAGACTTAGTGTCACTCTAAACTTCCTAGAGTTTCAAAACCTGTGTGAGAAGAAACCTTTGAGGACAGACGAGGTGCCTCAAAGCCTCATTAGGTGAGAAGGCACAGGCCGTGTGCTCAGAGCCATCAGTGTGTGGAGGCCTCTCACCAGGAAGGTCACACCTCTGAGGCCGCAGTGGGACACAAAGGCCCCCAGAGCTGTCTTGTGTTTGACTTCAAAGAAAGGGTCACACAAGGGGGCGTGGTCAGATACACACCCACAGTCCACCCTGGGGTGTGGCCGCACACCTCACTGGCCATCCTTCTAGGCTCTTCTCTAGACACAAATGCATCTGTCTACTTGTTTGTCCTTTCTTCACCGGGGGTCAGCTGTGTAAGCCTCCTGCTCAGCCTTTCACGGCTGGACTCTGGAGAGCTTTGGGCACTCTTGTTCTGCTACTGGGGCCAGGCAGGGGCTGTGCATGAATGGGCTCAGGTGCCCCTTTTCAAGTAAACTCATGACCTGTCCCCAGGAGCAAGGGACGTCCCATCTCCTCCTCATCTCCAGATGTTCATCCAGATGGTATGTGCGAGTTCGGGGAGACACAGGCTTTCAATGGCAGTTGCTGGGAACCAAGCACACTCAGTGCCTCAAGCACAGGGACCCCTCTCTAGCCCATCCAGGGCAGTGTTGCCCCTGGACCCCTGCCTGACCCACAAGCCTCACACCAGCCAGGAGGAGGGTCTCAGTGCCCACTCAGGTAACTCTGTCTCTGAGACCTTCTTGAAATCAGACTGAGGCCACCACCTGAGCAGTACCTCATGGCGGTTCCTGTTGACTCCTGACAGATGCTGACCTGTGCGCAGAGTAACCAGTCTGCCTCTCCTTTCCGATTACTCCATTTTGCTTTAAAAAAATGAGTACGTGTGTGGTGGGGGTGTACATGTGTGATGGGGGTGTTCATGCTTGAGAGTGTGTGTACACATGTGTATGGGTTCATATACATACATGTACACATACATGTAGAGGTCAGAAGTCAGCCTTGAGTGGTTTTTCTCAGGAGCCCTCTGCCTTACTTTTTACAGGATCTCTCACTGTCCTGGGGCTCATTGATTTGACTCGACTGGTTGGACAGTGATCTCCAGAAGTCCTCCTGTTTCTGCCTCCCCAGCACCGACATTACTAGCAAGTGCCACCACACTGTGGCACCACACCCGCCTTTTATGTGGGTTCTGGGGATTGAACTCAGGTCCTGATGCTCGCAAGGCTTCAAGCCCTTTCCCCCATCTTCTCAGCCCTAGTGACTGCAATTCTTTTGACATGCTGACACCTGAGGGGGTTGTCTAATGGGATGACACAGCACATTAGTACAGCTGTGTGGTATTTTCTCCAAGGCACACATGACCTCAGGGGCTCCAGATGAGCCCCCTTCCACCCAGGCTGGTAGGTATGAGCCCCTTCCACCCAGGCAGGTAGGTATGAGCCCCCTTCCACCCAGGCAGGTAAGTCCTCCAGAGGTACAGCTCTGGCCAGACCCTGCTGACATCCAGCAAAGCTGCGGAAGGCCCTGTCGCCTGCATGTTGTTTAATTTTCCCCTGGATTCATAGGTTTTATTTTGAAAAAATAACCACTGGGAAAAAAAGGCAAGAAAATGACCATAGCCTCTCCCTAACTAAGCTAAGCAGTCATGTGACCTGTGAGCTGCACACCTATGTCTCATTGCTCAAGTTCTGAGCTTTTATTGAAAGAATTTTCTAGAGAATGTGCAGAATGAACTTGACAGAGTTCAAACTTGGAGTGTAGACTTGCCCTTCCAAAGACTTGGCCCTGTTCTTTCCATTTGCTGGCTGCTTGCAAAGGGTTGGTTCTGTGCTGAACGTGGCCCCAGACCTTGATGGCGCAAATGTGGACAGGGCTCAGTGCTCCCCCCAGGGGTGGAATGCAAGCCATGCTGAGGTAGAGGGACTGCAGGAACTCAGAGAGAGGAAACCCAGACTGCTTTAAAATGTCCGAAAGTAAGCATGGGGGGCTGGAGAGATGGCCCAGCGGTTAAAAACACTGACTGTTCTTAGCCAGGCATGGTGGCTCACACCTTTAATCCCAGCACTTGGGAGGCAGAGGCAGGCAGATCTCTGTGAGTTCAAGGCCAGCCTGGTCTACATAGTGAGTTCCAGGACAGCTGGGGCTACAGGGAGACCCTGTCTCAAAAAAGACCAATAATTGAAAAAAAAAAAAAAAAAAAAGACTGTTCTTGCAGGAGACCCAGGTTCAAATCCCAGCACCCACATGGCAGCTAACAACTGTCCATAACTCCAGTTCCAGGGGATCTGACAGCCTCTTCTGTCCTCCTCAGGCATTGCACAACATGGGTGCTCCTACTTACATGCAGGCATAACACTCATACATGTAAAATAAAAATAATAAATATTTTTTTTAAAGTGAGCATAGGAGAGCTGGGCCTTGAGGTATGAGTAGGAGTCTTATCACTTGCCAGAGGGAAGGTTGTTCCAGGTTAGAGAAAGTATTTGCAAAACTCAGAGTCAGGAAGGTCAAGCATTCCCGGGAGAAAATACTTGTGGCACAGCTACATGGTGGGGTATGGTGGGAAGGAAGCTGGAGGCCAGGACAGCAGGCAGGACGTGAAACATCCTTGGGTTTGTGTGCCACAGATGAGGGAGTCTGACTTTGCTCTACAAAGATCCTTCAGCAGCAGCACCAGAATAGAGGATGGACACAGTGGGCAGAGGCTGGAGCCCAGTAGAACACAGGCTGGCCTCCAAGGGTCTGAGAAAGACAGCCTTAAGACCCAAAGTCAGACATAACTTTAGAGAAAGTGGCTGTTTCCGATCAGCCTCCATGTTTGTGCTTCATGGAGCCATACCAGCTCTGCCAGGAGGCACCTCCCATGTGACTTTAAGGATGAAGGAATTGGACCACAGAGAAGAGTTGTGGTGATTGGTGATCAGTCCTAAGGACCTCAGAACAGGTGGTGGGCAGGAAAGGAGCTCTGGTACCAGCTAGGAGGGGCAGCTTCCTCTGCCTAGAGGCTGTTTCTCTCAAAGCCACCTGGGATGGCCTTCTAGAAACCTCCTGCCACCTTGGCTGGGCCTTCTGCCTTCTGGCCTCCACTTACCACCTGCCTGTGATGTTTATGAAAACTTTGCAATTTACCTTGTGGAAGAGAGCCTATGTGTCCTTGTTTGTTCCACATTGCGAAACATTGTCCTTTGCTGTGTGGGTGCCAACTGGAGCCACTGGCCCATGACAGCCTTCTGCTCACACATTTAAGACGCATCTACCTTGACCATCTGCCCACTCACCACCCATAAGAAGTATATTTTGATGTACAGCCGTCATACAGGTTCAATGGATATGCTGTGGGTCCTCACCACAGACTAGATGGTGCAGATTCTTTTCACCAGCATTAGACTTCATGAACACAGTTCCCAAATGAAGAATGAGATCAGAGTCAGAGACTGGGCCAGCCCTGGCTTCAGGCGCAGAGCGCACGTGTGCACGTGGGGAACAGCATATTCTGAAGACGGAGGTGTGGCTCTTGCTGAGTTGGTGGTCCAGCGGGAAGCCCCTCTATGCACAGGTGGGGCTTCGAGTGAAGGTGATGTCAGGGATTGTCCCTGTGAGCAGACATGTGTGTCTTTCAGGATACCAGGATCTATTCGGTTCACAAGCTAGGTCGACTCTGTTGGCCTCTGCTTCCCCAGAGGCCCTGGTTTCGCTGGTCCCAACACGGGCTCTTGTATCCCAGTGTCTTTTTGTTTTGGTTTCTGGTTTGGTTTTATTGAGTCAGGATCTCCTCCTATAGGCCAGGTTCACAAACTTGCTGCCTGTACCTCCAGAGTGCTGGGGTTATGGCATGCCCCCCGCCCCCAGCTTGTACTCTTGTGTTCACTGCCAACAGTAAGTGCAAGTCACACATCGCAGTTCACACAGTAATCTATAGATACAGGCCACAGAGTGGCTGTTAAAGGGTTAACAAGGTGGCAGTGTTCAAAGGAGTCATGCTGCAGGCGTAGAGTTGACCCCCAACCTCCTGCAGAGGGCTCTAGAGAAATGAGTCCAGGTCAAGGCTGGTCTGAGTGACAGTTTGAAGTGGGCCACATGTCACAGCAGGAGAAACTGCCCTTGAGCCTAAGCCCAGGGTCAGAGTTAGGGGTCCTTCCCTGTGACGATTGTAATGGGTACAGCTTGTAACAAGTACCCAGGCCATCGGTCCCTGTGTGGTCTCTCTGTCCTCCTCCTTTAGACCCTTGTGAGGGGCCACATTCAGTGGGACCAAGGGCCATGTGTCTGGCACTTCTATAAGCCTCCTGTATTTTCAGGTGCTATTTATTGGTACGAATAAATTATTTATCAGTTTGTGCCTCCTGGTGTGCAGGCAGATGGTGGTTGTTTACTTGCGTAAACAAGATGTAGAGTCATTCCATCTTGGCACTTAAAGTAATTCAGGTCAAAACTGTTGCTTTATAACACGGCAACAGAGGCTGAGGCTGAGGAAAGCTGCTGTTCATGCTGCATGGGGCCAGCCCGGGGAGGTGAGCTGTGCTCCACAGTATCTCACTGGGCTTCAGTCCCTTCAAGCCAAAATGGAGAAAATAAAACAACCCTGCCAGCCTTCCCAGACCCCCGTGGGGGCCACAGCCACAGGGGGTGGCGTGGCAGAGCTGGGGGTCCTTCCCCACCCTTGAAGTTCTGAAATTCTGAGGAGTTGGGTAGGCAGTTGGAGAGATGGCACACAACAACGGGTGAGGATGAAGAGGTGGTACTGTTCCAAGGGGCGACGGCATCCAGGATAGTGCCAGACACCGGACTCGGAGGGAGGAGAGGAAGAGTCGGAGGGAGGAGAGGAAGAGTCGGAGGGAGGAGAGGAAGAGTCGGAGGGAGGAGAGGAAGAGTCGGAGGGAGGAGAGGAAGAGTCGGAGGGAGGAGAGGAAGAGTCGGAGGGAGGCGAGGGAGGGTCGGCCAGGCCAGGAGGCAGGTAGAGGGGAGCCAGGTGAGGCACAGCCCCTGAAGGCTCTAGTGGACAGAACAGCCCAGGCTGCCGATTCCTCCAGGACAGCCACCATAGTGCCTCCTGGAGGCCCTGGTAGGACCAGCAGAATGGTCTTTTTAAAGTGTCTTAAAAAGTGTCCCTTGTCTGTAAGCAAATTTAATAGAACTGTCATCATCTTTGAATCCTAGAAGCCTAACCTTTGAAAAGTAGCTGGGGGAGGGGGAGGCCGAGCAATTAAGAGCGTGTACTGCTCTTACAGAGGACTGGAGTTTGCTTCCCAGCACCCACATGGCTGCTCACAACTGCCTGTAACTCGAGATCTAGGAACCCAACTCCTCTGGCCTCTGAGGGCGCCTGCATTCATGTGTTCATTCTCCCCCCACAACATACACATAACTAAAAACAGTGAAATAAATCTTTAAAAACGAACTGGGAAATCTGACTACTGTACTCTTGAAGAGTGCCCCTGCTGTTACCAATCTGCTTTCTCACAGCTTGCAAGTTCAAACTTAAAAATGGTTAGTTGTTTCTTCCCTAAGACACTTAATGTTATATTATTATTTTTTTCCAAACCCTCTGAGAATAAATGAGCCCTGTGAGTTTTGTGTACTAAAAAAGAAAAAAGAAAAGAGCCGTTCAACAATTTTTCAGCATTTCTTAAAATCTGAAACTAGACCAAGACTTAGAAAGTTTCAGCAGCTCCTTCTGCTGCACAGCTGGGGAAATAAGATGGTGTTTAATGATTAAGTTAGACCAGGTGTAAAAGAACGGATTTTAATGGCATATTTGAAGCTGGGGGCAGGGAGCCCCCTGGGAGAGTCCTAAGCCCATTACATTTAAACATAGCTGTTTTTTCTTTTAAGATGCAAACAGAAACTTGCAGAATTGGAGCTAGCTTGTGAACAGGCTCAGCAGTATCTATTTATCAAGGCCCAAACCAGATGGGCGGACTTGTCCAAGGTAAGAAGGTGATTATCCCCTTCCATCCGTTGAAAGAAGAAAGCCATTTCTGTGATTCAAGGTGCTTTGCTGATCCCCACTGGCCAGAGCTGTGAGCGGGCAGGGTGGGGAGGGGCAGCAGCATCCTGTGCCTGCTGTTGGGGGGAGGGAGCAGCATTGGGTACCCACTGTGTGGGGAGGGAAGCAGAGCCAGGTGCCCGCGGGGGGGGGAGTAGTGCTGGGTGCCCACTGTTGGGGGGGGAGCAGTGCTGGGTGCCCACTGTGTGTGGGAAGTGGTGCCTGGTGCCTATTGTACTGACTCCCTGCATTCCCCAACACTCTGAAAGGCCTTGGTTTTGTGGTTATGATTCGGTTACTTGATGATTTCTATTATTATTTATAGAGACTATACATTTATAGAAACCTAGAACATTCCACCTCTACTTTTCACAACTGAGGAAAATGGGCTCTAAGAACTAATTCTACTCTTTGAGATTTTAGCTGTTATTAAAGTTGCTTAAAGATATAATAAGAGGGGCCTGTGAGATGGCTCAGCAGGTGAAGGCACTTGCTGCCAAGCCTGATGACCTGAGTTCAATCCCCAGAACCCACATGGTGGGAGGAGAGAACTGAGTCCTGCAATTTGACCTCTAACCTCCACATGTGCACTGTGTATGTACATACACAGCTATGACAAAAGGAACTGACACACCTGTCATCCTAGTGCTCAAGGCCAAGGCAGTGAGATCTGCAAGTTCACAGCCAGACTGAGTTACATAGGAACTGAGGAAGACCCTGCCTCAAAGAACCTAAAGAAGCTGGGCATGGTGGCACACGCCTTTAATCCCAGCACTCAGGAGGCAGAAGCAGGTGGACCTCTGTGAGACTGAGGTCAGCCTGGTCTACAGACTGAGTTCCAGGTCAGCTGGGGCTGCAGGGAGACCTGTCTCAACAACAATAAAAGTCAGGCATGTCATCCCAGCACTAGGGAGGAGGGAGCAGGAGGACTCAGTTCAAGGTCATCTCAAACAAGCAAGTTTGAGACCAGCCTGGTCTATATGAGACATGAAAGGGAGAGAGATTAGGTTTCCTTCTGATTCTCAAATACATCAAGCTTGTTCTTTTAAATATTTTATTTATTATTTTTATTTTATGTGTATGAGTGTATTGCCTGCATTGCATATAAAAACACCTGTGTCCTGAAATGCCCATGGAGGTCAGAAGAGGGTATCAGATACCCTGGAACTGGAGTTACAGATGACTGTTAGCTGTCATGTGGGAGTTGGGAACTGAACCCAGGTCCTCTGCAAGAGCAGCTGGCTAGTGCTCTTAACTATTGAGCCATCTCTCCAGCCCCAACAGTGTTTTTTTTTTTTTTTTTGTTTTTGTTTTTGTTTTTTTAAATAAAACTAAGACATAGCTGCTATCTTTCATTAAAAAAAAAAGAATCACTTTAATTCCCAGCTAAATACTCATTTTCCTTGACACTGCTGGGCACAACAGTGAGAAACTGTTAGGTATTCCATGGAGAGGTTCCTGGCATCAACTCAGGCTTGGTGAGGATGAAGGCTTTAAATGAAAACTCTTGAGAAATGTCATTGGTAATTTCACACTAGTATGAACATGCAGCTGAAAGAGTTGTTTCTTCCTGCCTGGCCGAAATTCTAGGCCACACACTTCCAAGGCCCATGCTGTCTACAAGTAGTTGAGTAAGTTGTAACTACAGCCTGAGTCACGGGTACCCAGCCCAACGGTGACAATAGCTGAACCATGGGATAAGCACACAGAAGATGCAGACCTGGAACCTGGGACGTGGAGTACCGAGAGTACAGCACATTCACTCTGGAAAGGAGTTCTAAGCTGCATGCTGGATGGATGGTTCTTGCGCTACCCTGAAGGACGCCTCTGCTGTGTTCCGTTTGGTCACCAACCTGTTGGCTCTTTCTTCCCAGTTGTGGGCTGTGGCTCACCGGGGCAGGACTTCACCCACTTTCTTGCCCTTCTCCTCACTGTGGTCCTCCCTCTCAGTGTACCCACAGCTTCCCAATCCCACCAGCTGCGGCGGCTCTGCTCTTAGTGGGAAACTTCTAGATTCTCTTTTGCAGTGCCAGCCTCTGGCCTCTGGTAGACATCTCTCATTGAACTAAGGACACCCTCATCTTAGTTTGCTGAGTTACTGTCATCCATGAGGGTTGGGTTTTGTCACATGGTGCTTTTGCATGTTCAAAATGGTCATGTGGCTCCATTGGTGGGTTAGATAGCACTGAAGGGTTTTTGGCCGCTGAACCCGCTTGTATTAGAAATCCTGCCTGCTCAAAGCACAGACTCTTCTCCACTGGGGCTGGCTCAGTTGGCAGATGTTTCCTTGAGGGTCTTCACACTTGTGTTCATGTGATGGGTCTGGAGTTTCTTTTTGGCCTCTCTGCTTTGGCCCTGTGCTCACAGAATGAGTTAGGAGGGATTCTTCTGGCTTCTACCCTCCCTGTGCCCTGACAAGCTGTGATTCTCACTTTTGCCTGCCTCTCCAGCCCTGGGGGTGATGGCTCGCCTCCGATCTCAGTCTGTACAGGACTCATAGGAATTGTTCGTTTTTCAGTTTGTTCTGGTGTTTGCAGGCTGTCACTGTGTGACTACTGCCAGGGTCTCTAACGCCAGGCCCAGGCTGCAGGCTCGGTTGTTTCCTAAGCTGTGACTCTACTGTGGAGTAGACAGAATGAAACATGTAACTTAAGCAGATTCATCAGAGCCAGCATGTGACCTCCATCTGAATGGAGGGAGAGTCATCTTGGCCTGTGGTCAGCGCTCTTCTGCAAGGGACCAGACAGGACATGCTTTGGACTTTGCTCCCACTCCACACAGTGCTGGTCCCCTCCCACTGGGGTTTTCTGCTCCAGTGGGGTGGCGTCGAATCTCTTTGCAGTCTCCACTTGCATTTTATTGGTCATTGATGAGACTGATCACCTTTCCCTTTGGCATCTCTGTAGTCAGGTTAATGCAACTTAACCCGACTACGTACAGTAAATGCTTGCTATGTTTGTTTGTACAGGCTTCATATTACGTTGTCTGTCTTACTGGGTCTGGATACTAGTTTGTTTTAAAGTTTAAAAATTTTTTTTCTTTGGAAGTGTTGGGAGTAGAACCCAGAGCCTCGGGCATGCTAGACAATCATTCTACCCCTGTGCCTCACCACAGCCTCAGAGGAGGGATGCATGATGCAAAGCTCTCCTTCCCACCCTCCTGCTTTGTTATCTGTCTTTTGAGAAATAGAAGCTTCTCCCCCCACCTCCTCCCTCTCCTCCCCCTCTTCTTCCTCCTCTTCCTCTTCCTCCTCTTCCTCTTCTCCTCCTCTTCCTCCTCTTCCTCTTCCTCCTCTTCCTCTTCTTCTCCTCCTCTTCCTCCTCTTCCTCTTCCTCCTCTTCCTCTTCCTCTTCTTCTCCTCCTCTTCCTCCTCTACCTCTTCCTCCTCCTCTCTCCTTCCTCCCTTTCCCCTTCCTCTTCCTCCTCCTCTTTTTTTCTTTTACTTGTTATTTAGTTTATGTGTGTGTTATGCCTGCATGTATGTAAGTGCACCTGTGTCACACAATGCCTGCAAAGGCCAGAAGAGGGAGTTGGAGCCCCTGGAACTGGAGTTACAGATGGTTGTTAGCCACCATGTGGGTGCTGGAATTTGAACCCGGGTCTTATGCAATAGCAGCCACTGCTCTTAACCACTAAGCCATCTCTCTAGCCCCCTTTTTCTTCTTCTTATACTAGGGACTGAATGTTGACTGCCACACACAGTAGGCAAGTGCTCTACCATTTAAGTCTGTCCCTAGATTGCTTTTTACTTTGTGTTTTGAAACAGGTCTCACTAAATTGCCCAAGTTGACCTTGAACTCAGTCTGTAGCCCAGGCAGGCCTTGAACTTGTGTCCCACCTGCCCCAGCCTTCAGAGGCACTGGCATTACAAGCCTGTGTCCACCAAGTCCAGCTTCAGCCCTATTTTTAGTCAAGGTTATTGGAATTTCTCTATAGACGCCCTTGAAATCCAGCCTTACCTGGATTTTGTGAAATTATTCTGTTCTCTTAAAGAGCTTCAGTTCCAACCTCCACATTCAGTTCCTAACCTGTGGCTCGATGTCCACAGGTCGGGAGGCGTGATGGCCATGTGTCCTTGTATTTCAGTGTTTCCATCCTACACTCCACCCTTGGGGTCTCTCAGCACCTCGTGCTGCCCAGTGGTCTGTCTGTCTGTCCTGAGATATTCTACACCTTTCTAACGTATGAGTACATCTTTACCTATTAAAGTTTTGTTGTGCTTAAGATTGAACCCAGGCCCTTGTGCATGTTAGGTGAATGCTTTACCACCAGAACCATATCTCCTGTGTTTGTGGATACATTGTCATCAGCTGGTGTGCAGCCAAATTTCATGTAAAAAAGGTCTGGAAAGACGGGTTGGGGGTCACGAGTGGTTCCTGCTGTTGCAGAGAATCAGTTCAGTTCCCAGCACGTCAGATGGCTCACAGCCACTCGTAGCTTCAGCTCCAGGGATCTGACAACTTGTCTAGCCTCTGTGGGCACCATGCACCACCACACACTCAAATTTTTAACTCCATTTCCAGAAGAAACTGCTGGAGACTAGGGAGACAGCTCCGTTGGTAAACTGCCTGCCTTGCAAGTATGTGGGCCTGGGCTTGATCCCCAGCACTCACATGGGCACAGTGGTCTGTGTTTGTCATCCCAGTGCTGGAGGAGGCAGGGCCAGGAGGCTTCCTGAGGGTTTCTGGCTGAATCGACAAGCCCCAGGTCCCAGTCTGAAGTACAAAATAGCACCAGAGGAATGACCCTGAGTTGACCTCTGGCCTCCCAAGCCCCCACATCCTGACACCACAGAAATAAAAATAAATAAATAGTACTCAAGTTGGTGGGTGGGAAGAGAAACTTGTCAGGGTGTTCCATACGCTGACTGCTGATGACCCTTTCTGCTGTGTTACTGAACACCATCTTCCGTCGTAGAATTTCGTAGAAACGGATAACAAGGGAAATGGCATTCTCCAGCCAAGGGACATTAAGAATGCTCTGTATGGCTTTGACATCCCCCTCACCCCAAGAGAATTCGAGAAGCTTTGGGAAAGGTAAGTGTGTTGGCAAGAGGGGCCTCCTGATGGTCAGGGGTCAGCGGGGTCTGGGAATGGGTCTCTGTGGCAACCTGGATCCTGGTGAAAAGCAGCGGTGGTGGGCATGCTGATCCTCAGGAATATGAAGTACCGGGCAGTGCCTGACCAGCAGTACTGGACCGAGGTTTGCAGAGCCCAGAGTTCAGGAAGGAAATAACCAAACTTTTGAGAACTTGGAGTTGTTTCGAAGGGCTTTCACACTGGAAATAGAATCTAATGTAGGTGCCGTTTTTCAAATGCTGTGACTGTTTTGAACCAGGCCCCTGTCTTATTTCCTGTGTGGATGCCTAAGCTTCAAGCACCCTAACGGTGCCATGTGGTTCTGATTTCTGCTTCTGTCTTTCTTTGTGGCATGCTGTCACCCCTGGTGTCCCCAGGATGTGTGCACCAGCATCACGTGTCCTCTCAGCAGCACACCCACTGGGCGTGTGCTCACCAGTCGGTGTGCGCCACCTTCAGGATGTGTGCACCAGCATCACGTGTCCTCTCAGCAGCACACCCACTGGGCGTGTGCTCAGTCGGTGTGCGCCACCTTCAGCATCTCACCTGACAGGCAGAAGGCTGAAACGTTGACTGGGTTCAGAACCTGGTGGGTTGTTTTCTGTCTAATTGACACATGCAACGTGGAGTTCCTACATGGGGACCTGGGCTCCGAATGTCCGAGGGGACAAGGACAAAGGTAGAGGGCTCCTGGCAGTGCCTACCACATGGGCATTATCCCAGAGGAGGGGTAGTTGAGGGTAAGGAAGATCCAGGAGTGGGTCCCTTGGTGTCCAGTGGGAACAGACACCAGGATTCCATTCAAGGAATGAAAACAGAAGTGTCTGAGAGGCTGAAAGCCCAAGGGGACTGTGGCACCACTCAGAGACCAGGAGATGAGGGAGCAGTGGAGGAGGGGGGCTATACACAGACCTCCAATCTCCACTCCTCACCCTAGCACCAGGGTCCAGAGGAAATCAGATGTCTCTGCATGTGAGAAAGCTGCCTCCACCCCAAGGAGAGTCATATCCTAGCCCAGCCAGGTACCACTGATGCTGCCATGGAAACTTCTAGAGTCCCAGTCAGCACTGAACAGGAACTACCAGCACTGTCCCCAGCAGGACTCTGACCTCTTCCTGCCATCTTATTGGACCTCCTTGGAGCAGCAGGGTGGGGCACAGAGGTCCTGGGAAGGGTAAGCACAGGAGAGCCACATGAGGTTTCATAGCCTCCCCTGCTGGCTGTCCGAACACCAGGCTGCACCCCAAAACAGCAATGAGACAGGTTCTCCTTGGACTGACTCAGCATGAGGAAAGTGGTCCAGGAAGTCTGGAGCAGCTGGGCCCATGTGACCTTCCATCAGCTCAGGGAGTCTGGGCAGGTCCCAGTGATGTCAGGACAGGGTAGGAAGACCCCCAAACCAGGGGGCAGAAGCAGAGAGGAAAGTGATGTGGTCTTCTGAAAATTTGACTCTCAGAAAACACGACAGGACGTAGATGGAAAGCATTTTCAGCATCCATTATTCACACAGCACTTATTCAGACCTGTGAAGCGCACTTGTTAGGGCTGTGAGTTATTCTGGAAGGGCCTGGTTTATGCTGTGGAAGTGAATTAATAAATTGGCCCTAAATCTCAGCAGCACAATACCTCTGTTTCCTTACTCATCCAAACTCTGTAGTATGCTAATGGGTCTTGAGAACATTCCCCTTCCAAGAGTAAGGAGGGTCCGGCAGCTCTTGGGTAGCAGCCTGCCTTGCCGCCTTTGTGGGGTGCTCACCCCAGCAGGTGGGGATTACCTGATGCACATGTGGGCTTCTGAGGTTCTGGTCCTGGAGTGCCATGCCTTTGCCCACCACCATTGCCCAGGTTGGCCCAGGCCTAGGCTGTGATGCAGAGACTGGCTGACAGGATCAGATGGATCCTGGCAGAGGCTCTCGGTGGTTGAAGGAACAAAGCGCACTGCCCACTGACACCAGTTCTGGAGCTGGGAGCCTGCGCTCTCAGGAGCAGCCTGTGGGCTAGATTTTGGGGGACCCGAGGACCCCTCACCGTGTGAAAAACATGCCCATTCCTATGGTCACTTTGGAGTAACTTTGGAGAGCCTGTGTCCAACCCTGACTGGGCTTGGGCCATCTGAAAGGCAGTTCTGCCCTCAGCATGCACACAGCAGCTGTAGTGAGGTCATGAGTTGAGTCTGAACCAACAGCCATCAAGAAGCCAGGGATGGGGGAAGGGCAGTCCATGAGCAGAAGCTTCTGGAAGCTTCTGAGGACATCCTGCTTATATGGGAAGAGCCTAAGCTCTCAGCCTGGACCAGCAGGGGGTCAACAGACACGGGTATAGCTTCACTGCACTTTGCCATAGCTTGGAGCCATCTCCTGGGGCTGCGTTTGCTTTCTGAGTGCTTCCTCTTGGCCACTCCATCGGGTGGGATTCAGCTCATTTGACTCTGAAACCTTTGCTGGAAAGCGATGAAGAAAATGTTATGAAGGTGCATGGACGAGAAGAGACTGCAGGAAAGCTGCCAGGGGAGTCTGTGGCAGCCCTCTAGTTTGTGCACCAACCAGGCTACCCAGCCACAAGCTGAGAGGGCTTTGGTCCTGACAGGAGCCTACATTATATCAGGACTCAGATATAAGGCTGATTCACAGTGTGGGTGCTGTGTGTCAGTATTCAAATAGAACAGAGAAGCCTGAAAAGGAGCCATGCTGTAGGTCACAACTCCTGTTCTTAGTCAAGGCAGAGCCCAGACACCCTCCTCAGATGACAGCTAGGCAACATCAGAGGGGATATACCTCAAGGTGGAGTCTGAGTGAGCAGGGGCTTCAGCAGAGAGAAGTGGATTGGCCAGGGTAGGGCCACAGGGGCAGAGCTTAGCACTGTCTCTGAAGGAGGCTCCCTGTGGAGGTGTGTCACCCCTGAGGCTCCACATGGAGACTTGTCACAGGTACGAGTGGCTGTGAAGACAGTCCCCTATGGCTCCATGCAAGGCTGGAGCACCGAGGCTTGGAGAATAAACAGCTTGGGCCTGGACAGAGACTGCAGAGGCTGTCTCAGGACCTGTACTTGCCCACTGGGCACCGCTCAGGCAGCTGACTCCTTTCCATTTGAAGAGTGTCTGTTTGAGCCATCAGACCACCCTCCAAGATGGTACCTCCCATCCCAGCTACACAGGGCTTCCACTTTCCTCTGCCACATAGTCCAAGTCATCTTTAGGACTTACCCCATGCCCCCTAAATACACCTTTACCTCTGGGGCCAGTGGTATTCAAAGAAACTCCAGCAACATGCAAGAACCAGTGTCCAAACTGAGCATGAACAACCAAGGCTCTTGGTAAAGCTTACTGAGTGATGGATGTGCACATATGTAAATTCCATGTACAGCGGAGTTGCTGTGTATGCACTGAATGGGCAGTCACCTGATTATATCATAAATTAATGGCCCTGGCTATATGCAAATACAAGCTTTTGTGGGGCCTGTTGATGAGCACGTTGCCTCTGGCACATCTGTTGCTGAGCCATTTTAAAATTCAACCTTTATAGGCAAGTTGATTTTTTTAATGTTACACAGAGGATTATATAATGAAGGGTGAGGTTATGTAGGCTGAATTAACTCTCTTATTATTCACATTCATAACAGTATTTTCGTTGTGACTGTGCAATCTGCTCTTCTGTGCCTTCGCAACCAGAAGAGCCTGTTTGTGATCTCCGTTAATGAAGTAATTAAGAAGTGCCTTTTCATTCAGCCAAGTGTCACGACGGAGAGAGGGCTGCGAGGAATCTGTGCTGGGGACTGAGGGGCACTGCCTCTTTGAGGGCTCCACACTCAGGAAAGTCACATGACTGTCAAAAGCCTTCCCGAAGGGCTTTGGATGCTGGGAGCAGGTGATCAGACATAGCAGCAGCCCAGGACACTGGCCATCTTGCAGGAGACATGACCTTTACATAGGAACTTAGGACAGGTGGAGGCCCCCCCCACCAGCTTACAGACAGCAACAGCAAATGCAAACTTGGTTGGGGGTCCCCATAAGCATTAACAGCCCCTCACTAGCCCCCAAGAATTTAAGGAAGGCCAGGATCATGGGATGTTAGACCTGGGAGGTTAGAGAGGTTTCCTCAGCAGTTGGCCTCCTGTGGCAATGGGGACCCCTAGGAGTTTGTTAGGGATGTCTTGACTGACTTACATGTTAAATCACTCTGGTAACACAGGCTAGGTAGGCAGAGTCTGCTTGCTAGGCACAGGCCCCTTTGTGCTTTGTTTTAAAAGCAAGAGTCACAGGTGAGGCAGGCTGTTCTTTCTGGTCTTTGAGTGTGACGGTTGTGCTAATCACACACACCTGGAAAGGCTTGTGGACAGTTCATAAGCGACAACAATGCTGCCATGCCACGATACTCAGCCTCTGCCAGGAAGGGCTGCCGTGGTCCAGGGAGGACCAAGCCCAGAGCTGGCAAGGTATTACCAGGTCACCAGGCCCCTGTTGTTTTGTCTGGGAGCTTAACACCTCTAGCAGAGACAACTACCTGCAGAGAGAAGCTTTAGGTCCACAGGGCAAAGGGAGACCAGGAGGTGGCTCCCATAGGTGTCCTGGCAGGCCCACTGGCTTTGGGGCAGGATGGCTGCCTCTGACTCCTGGCATCCTTGCACATATGAACACAAGAGCAACACCCTCCCTCAAGCTGCTTACCCTCTTCTTCTGCCCCCACCTGTGAGGAGGAGCATGCCCCCTCCACCTCAGGAAAACAGAGTCCGCCTCATTGGCTGGGTGCAGTGTGCCAAGTGACCTGGGGCTCTGAAACCATTCTAAAGGGCTCCTTGGATTCTGCACCCTACAGTGGTGCCAGAGAACCAGCAGTGTCCACAACAGCATCCCCACTGTGGGGAATCAGGTTTGCAAGATGGTTTAAATAGAAGACTCATTCCTTGTAGTTCTGGGTTCATCTGGGGAAAGTCAGGTCTGCCATGCCACTCTGTCTCGGATTAGTGTGGACCAAGATCCTTCTGTAAAAACAAATGCCTTTTTGAAAGAAAAAAGAAAATGGGCAATTTGCCTTAAAATTTTATTGAAGCAATCCTATTCTACGTGAATAGCATCAAGAGATAAAAACCCTCCATTACTCCTTTTTAATGAACTATAATTCAGAAAAATCTTGATAATAGAAAATGACTTAAAAGGCACACTGTTCAGTTCTTATCTTGTTTTCCTTCTGGGCTCTCTGGTTTGGTATGTGCAAGCCACATCTCTTCAGAGTGGAAATGGGGCTTTTACCATCCTCGAATCAAGTGGTATTCATCTGCCACAGCTTCAAGATGAAATGTGCTTTGCGAAGGCTTTCTCTAACCCTCAGCATAGTTCCATTTACATGTAGGTGCTGAGTTTTAAAAGGACAACTGAATGTTTGGAAAGGGGGTTTCAGTTTTCTGGGGTTGCCAACTGTGTTGCCACAAATGTGACAGATGTGTGACTTGGGTGCATTCTCTTAGGGCAGGTCACCTGCCTGTCGGTCACCTGGGGGTTCTGGTCTGCCCGGCCGCCTGTGCCTGGCAAAGAGAACTCACCCAACAGTATAGGTGTAACAGTATGGGTGTGGTCATGGCCCTGAGCACCCGCCCACCTTTCCCACCACTGACCGCAGCATTTGCTTTTGCTTTTGAAGCAATGATACAGAGGGAAGGGGCTGCATCGCGTACCAAGAGTTTCTGCAGAGACTTGGCGTTTGCTCTTTGCCAAAGGTCCACCGGCCCTACAAGGAAGACCATTTCAACTTCCTGGGTCACTTCACAAAGCCCAAGCAGGTCCAGGAAGAGATCCAGGAGCTGCAACAGATGACTGACAGGTAGGTGTGTCACTGACAGGGCCTGGACGGCAGCCGGGTGTGTCTGCTGTGGAGCCTAGAAACTACTCTTGTCAAAGAACTGCAGTACTTAGCAGTCACCCGTGCCCTACCTCCCCAGTCACGGTTTCACACATCCCTTCATAGTTTGTAGCTCCCACTTGAACATTGCCTGGTCGTGTCCTGCATGGTGCCTGGCCCACCAAGAATGCAGGCACCGTACGGTGTCTGTGGCTTTCCCAGGTGCCTTGGAACCCTGTAGGTGCCATGTACAGACTGTTGAATGAGTGCATGTGCGCATGAGTGGACATGATTTAACTCACTGCTTAGAACCAATTAGAATTGCAAGGGGTGACCCCCCCCCAGCATGCCTTTGATATCAGCAAAAGGAACCTCTTCCAATCCCAAGACCACTTTGTAGACCATGGCCCAGGAATGCAACCTGATGTCTGCCCATTGGATTTATTGCTGGAAGCCTAGGGAGTGTTTGTGGTGATGGGCCAATAGGCCGAGGTTTTGAAATGTATGCGGAATGCGGACTGGAGCCACAATGATGGCAGCAAATGCTTATTCAAGGACCAGGAGAGGCTGTGTGGAGGCCAGCCATTGCATTTGGACAGCATGGGGCTGTTTTCTGTTTAAACCTCTTTCTGTGGGTTCCCTGCAGAGCCCCTGATGGCCACTGAGATATTTGGCAGTCCCCAGGTCACCATCCACCACCGCCTCCTCCCATTGCTCCCTCCCCTACACAGGTGGCTCTGGCTCCTCTTGTTCCTAGCGGTGTGTGGCTGCACCTGCCTGTCCTCAAGCAGTGGGACTCAGCTCTTGTCCTCACCCCACTGCGCAGCTGCTGATGAATTCCTGAAAAACAAGAAAGCCTCAGGCGTGGACTGAGCCCAGTAATGAAGTGTGTTTAAGAGGCAAGGTCTGCAGCCCTGCATCCTGTTGAAGTTAGTGCTCCACAGACACTGCGGGCTGAGAATTGAGTTTGTGGAATCCAGTGTGAAATATGTGCAAGATTGGTATAAATCAAATCTGCCACACACTGATGTAAAAGTGGAATTTATCCTTACCAGACAGGACTGGCCTCATTACCCTCGAGCGTCTTCGCTTCTGTCCCGCCACGTGTGAGTAATGAGGCTCCTCGCCCTGCTGCATGGTGCTGGGTCTCCCCTCAGCGCTGGTGACTGTGGGAGTGCAGGGCTGAGCTGAAGAGTTGCGTATTGTGTGGTGGTGTGTTTCCAGTGTCAGGATAGCACGCGCCTGTCCTCCTGCCTCCGTGGTATTGTCTTAACAAAGAAGGCAAACACACGATCAGCTGTTTTCTAAAACAAACTAGCTTGAGCCAGGCACAGCAGTGTGTGCTTGTAATCCCAGCATGGTGGGGAGGGGGGCAGAACTCATTGGCTAGCTGGTCTAGCCTCCTCGGAGAGTTCTAGGCCAGTGAGAGACCCTGTCACAAAAATAAAAATAAAGCGAAAGGTGGACAACTCCTAAAGAATACTGGCCACAGTTGTCCCCTGGCCTGCACACGTGCATATGTATGTATACACACCCCCCCCACACACACACACAATATTAGCTTGTAGGAATCATTAAATACAGACTGCTCTTCTGCATACCTGGCCTTCTGAAACTGCTCAGATTGGTAGGCAAATTAAAGGGATGGTTTTATACTTTTCTTGAACTTGAGGGGTGTTCATTTTGCTAGGAGTACCACAGATACATGTAAAGATGAAGCAAAGTCTTCTTAGACGTGTCCTTACTCTCCAGACGGGCTCTCTTCTTGCCTGTGTCGATGAGTTGAAGATTGGGAACCAGAAAAGCCACGGTGAACAGCACAGGACACAGGCTCAGTGGAGAATACAGGGCGGGGGTGGTGGGGCTCAAACCTAGCAGGGCCCTGGAAGCAGGAAGGTGAGGGCCTTGAGGGTGATGGCTGCACCCTCCTCACCCTCATCCAGACCTGAGCGGGACAGGACCACAGAAGAACACTGCTGATCGTGTGGGCCAACAGCGGCTCTGTTTGGCAGCGCTCTGTGATCTGTGCTCCAAGCCGTCATTTACTCTGTGCACATATTTACTCTGAAAGGGAAATAATTGCTGCTCAGAAGCCAGTCCAAGAGATGCTGAATGCCTCAATTTTCTAAAAATATGTATCTCCAAAAACTGTTTTGATTTTTCTCTGCCTTCATTTGCTTCGTTTTGAAGGACTAAGTGGTGTCGAATCATTGTGAGGACAAGTGGGCTTTGTAGCTTGGGGCTGGACCCAGGGGACACCTGTAAGGGCATCCAAAGCTAGTGCTGTTGGTGTGCATTCAGGGATGCCAGCCTACTCAGTTGGTCCAGGCGCCAGTGTCACAAGCCCATTCCAGATGGAGACCAGCAAGGACCACATGCTTTACCCAAGCACTCCTCTGCCCCCAAATGTCTTGCTGCAGCCTGCCTCTCCTGAGTGCCTGACTTCTTTGCTCTGTGTTTGTTTCCAAGTTCGCTCAAGTCATTACCCTCCCTGCAGCCCCCATCTGAGACAACGGACGGGAACCAGAACAGGTGTAACAGTCAGAACTGACAGCCCGGTCTTCCTCCTAAGGGATAACCAGAAACCAAGATGGTACCTGAGCCCACCAGACAGCCATTTTTCTCAGGGGGTTAGGAGGAGATGCTCAGAGACCTGGAACAGCAGAGATGATAGATTTAGACTTAGTTCACCACATGCCATGCTGGACCTGGAGGTGAGGGGTACATGTGCAGGTATGCACATGTGTGTGTGCATGAAGAGGCCAGGAGTCAACCTCAGGTGTTGTATCTCAGGCACTATCTACCTTGTTCTTCGAGAGAAAGTCTCTAGCTGGCCAAGAGTTGCCTATCAGGCTAGGCCGGCAGGCCACAAGCCCAGGGATCTGCCTGCCTCTCCTTCCCAGTGCTGGGGCTACAAGCATATCTCACCACACCCGGCTTTTACCCATGGGTTCTGAGGATCCATCACAGGTCCTCATACTTGCAGGACAAGCACTTTACCAAGTAAGCCACCTTGCCCACTGGAGGGAGTTCACGTCTAAGCCCTGCTTACTGCCTCAGTCTTGGAAGTCAGAGAAGAATCTTCCGGAAGACCTGAACTGTAGAGACTGGAATATGGTTTGCAGGAAAATCAGCTGTGAGCCAGCTGATCTTGTCCTCAGCTGCTGTCAGGTCCTCACTACCCTGTCCTCGTCTGTCCAGTGGGCAGAGGCCCCAGCAGGGTGGATGCATAGGTCTGTGGGGCATCACACTGGGAGGTGCCCAGATCCTGTTTTGTCAGCTGGGGCAGAGGTGATGTCTGTGTTCTAATAGAGCAAGTTCCTCATCAAAGGAGGAGGTATGGGCTAGAGAGATGGATCAGTGGTTCAGAGCACAGACTGTTGGACCTTCGTTCAGTGCCCAGCACCCACTGTGGGCCTCACAACCACCTGTAACTCCAGTTCCAGGGGATCTGACACCCCCTTCTGGCCTTCACAGTACCTGTACTCATGTGCACACATCCACATACGGGCCCATGTACACACAATTTAAAATAATAAAATGGGGGCTGAAGAGACGGCTCAGCAGTTAAGAGCACTGGCCACTTGTAGAGGACCTGGGTTGAGCTCCCAGCACCCACATGGCAGCTAACAACCATCTGGAACTTCAGTTGCAGGGGACCCAACACCCTCTTCTGGCCTCCGCTGTCACTGTATGCGTGTGGCACACTTACATAAATGCAGGCAAACATAAATTTTTAAAATGTATTATTTTTTTATGTGTATGCGTGTATTGTCTGCATGTAGGTAAGTGCACCCGTGTCGTGCAATGCCCGAGGAGGACAAAAGAGGCTGTCGGATCCCCTGGGACTGGAGTTAAGGACAGTTGTTAGCTGCCATGTGGGTGCTGGGATTCAAACCCAGGTCTTCTGCAAGAACAACCAGTGTTCTTAACCGCTGAGCCGTCTCTCCAGCCCCACAAATAAATTTTTAATTAAAAATGAACTAATCTTTTTTTAAAAGTGGAAGCAGCAGGACTCCTTGTCTGCAGCACAGATGGGACCCACACCTGTCCATGCCCTTGCTCACTGCCCCGCTCCACTTCTGCCCTGGGTCCCCAGGAAACTCCTCTGTGGCCAGCTAGTGTCCCGGTGAGGCCAGCCCGCACCATTCAGAAGGGCATCTTGCCACCATTGTGGGTGCTTGTGGCTCCTCCCACCAGCTTTTCTTTCCTCCTGACCCTGTGCTGTGCACATGTGTCTTCTCCGCTGACTCAGTCCACTCTGGATTGTTCGTTCTGCTGAAGATGTCTGTGTGAGGCTCGTATGCCCGACACCCATAATGCATGGCACACAGCAGGTGCACAGCAAACGTTTATTGAGGGTGAACACAGTTCACATTTCTCTCATACCCTTGTATTTTTAAACTCTTGGATCCCTTAGGCACCAACTCTGCTAAACAGACAGGGCTGTGGTTTCCCTAATGTGGTTTTGCTAATGATAAAATGATGATGACCGAGGCTTATTGTTTTTTTTTTCCCCCGGGACACCTTTTCACATAAACGTGACACCAGGCCTGCAAAGCAGCTTCCAAATTAGTTCTTGGATGAGCGACCAAGCTATCACTTATAGAGTGGTCCCAAAGCCCGGGTGTCAGAGAATCGCTTGTCTTCCTGGCTTTGTGTGTCTGAGGGATTTTCTCTTCCAGGGAGAAACTTGTGGACCACTATGAAGAGATCAGCAAAGGACTCAGTGCCCTGGACAAGGACAAAACGGGCACCACAGGCATCTGCAGAGTGCAGAAGGTGCTGCAGGGGTGCGGCTGTCCCATGAGGGAGGAGGAGCTCCTCGGCCTTCTGAAGAGGTGCCCTGCCCTGCCTCTCCCTCCTTTTCTCTCCTCTCCTCCCTTCCCCTCCTCTTCCCTCCCTTCCTTTCTTTTTCCCTCCCCTCCCTTCCCCTCCCCTCTTCCCTCCCTCTGCTTCCCTTCCCCTTCATTTTCTTTCTGACTACATGAAGTTGGTCTCTGTGGAAACTGAAGACAGGCTGGTGTATTGTTCTCTCTTCTCCTGAGTCCATTCACACTGCCTCTGACCTGGAGCAAACCTATACCTGCTTCTGGGCTAGACCAGGTCCTTGTGAACCCCAGACAGTTGGGAAGCAGAGAACATGTGACTTGGCCTGACTTCTCTGGGTTAATGGTGATTTGTAGCTGTCATCAGTTTGGGGTGGGCTCTTCACACTTTGGTTGGAGTCTGAGTGACAGGCTCAGCTTGTAGTGTCTTGGTTTCTTATGGGCAATGTCTGTCGACCTCCAGGGAAGAGCTGAGCTTGTCTTGGTCCCCACTGTCTCTGATGACCCCACCCCTCACCCTTCCCACCCCATAGAAACACGGTGCTTACTCCACGATTCCCTGTGCTGCTGTGCCCTGACTTTGGGCTGTCTGTACCCCAAATCCATGTATGTGATGGTGGCTGGCCGGTGTCTGCTCTCTGCATAGTGCTTTCCTCCTGGCTCCCATGATCACCCTTCCTGCTGGCTGAGTGTCCTGGGTCCTCAGTGCCGAGAAATCCCAGCTTCCCCTCACTGTGATGTCCCTTCCCAGCATGTTCGGTTTCCTGACAGCCTATTTGTGGTCTTTGGTGTTCAGCTCGTCGACCCCATTAGCAGTGCCTCTCCGTTCTTTCCGAAGCTCCTGGTGCCGTTGAACCGGACTCATTTCCAAGGTTTCCAGTGTTTCTCCCGTAGTCTTCATGCTTGACTCTCACCTTATGTTCTGGGGCACAGGACTCCTGCCTTCTCCTCAGCCTCCCTCTGGGCCTTGCTCCGGCCTCTGTGTGCGCCTGTGTTTCCAGATTTCAAAGGGACATTTTCCCCGGGGACCTTGGTTCTCTGCTGGGTCCAGGGAAAGACACGGTGTTCAGCTTGTTCAGTTTCTCACTGTTGGACTGAGCGCAGCACTGCCGAGTCTGTGTCACCCAGTCCGTCCCCCACCGTGTTTCACACGCTCCTTTCTCTAGAGTCCTTCTTGGAGTAACTGTCTAAGAAGGGCAGGGGACGTGAATGTCCTGTCATTTCGGTCTGGAGCTTTTAAATTCTCCCTCGGACAGATTGTTAGCTTGTGTGAGCCTGGGGTCCTAGGAATAAGATCATGTCCCTAATATGTTGAAGGCGCTACTTCACTGTGTAAGCCCAAGAAGCCCAGCGCCAGTATGTGTGTGTGCATATATGTGCTGTGTGCTATGTGTGTGGTGTGCATTGTGTTCTGTGTGCGTGTTTGTGTTGAGCATGTGTGTATGGTGTGTATGTGATGTGTGTGTAGTATATGTGCTTGTGGTATGTGTGTATGTGTGTGGTATGTGTATTGTGTTCTATACATGCATATGTGTGTACATATATGTGTATGTGTAGTGTACATGGGTTCTATGCATGTCTGTGTGTTTGTATGATGTATGTGTAGTATGTATGATGTGTGTGATGTGTGTATTGTGTTCTATGTGTACATGTTTGTGGTGTGTGCATGTATATTTGTGAAGCATTTTGTGTATGTGTATTTTTGGTGTTGTGTGAATGTATATGTGTGGTGTGTGACTGTGTGTGGTGTGTATGCATATGTGTTGGTGTGTTCCTATGTGTGTGGTATGTGCTTGTGTATGGTGTGTATGCATTGCATGTGTGTGGTGAGTATGGGTATGTGTGATTGTGCCTGTGTGTTAGTGCGTATGCATGTGTGTGTGTACCTGTGTGTGTATGTGTGTGCATGTGTAGTGTGGAGAGAGGACTGTTCCATCTTGCACTACCTCCATGCCGACCTCCTTTAGAACCCTCTATTTCCAGTTGAATAGGAATTCATATGCATTCAATGAATAAATCATGGGAAAACAGACATAAATGATTAGCTAATGGCTCTGAGAGAGTCTTGTTAAAGCACAGTGAAGCTTCGGTTTCTGTATCCCACTCTCAGTGGGGGCGATCAACTTTTTTGCGCTTTGAAACCTTAATAAGGATCCATTGCTCAGTCACTTGTTCCTTCTCAAAGACCTCTTGATGAGAAACATCTCACTATTGGTAATTACATGTAGATTATTCTTTTCCAGATCCAAAATAGACTTCTCTAAATCCTACCGTTAGGCTCACATATGCGTTTGGTTTATTACTACATTTTAATACTGCACTGCCAGCTCCTCCCGCGGCTGATGAAACGGTGCTGATTGTCTCCTTCCTTGTGTCCCTGTCACGTGAGCCGCCCCGACAGGCAAGCAGGGCTGCTCTGCAGCTGCGACTTGCAAAGCTTGGCTCTGGGCTGCCCGCCTTCAGAAGCAGATCTTTAAGTCACCAGAAGCTTCTCCCTGGCTCACCAGTGTCCAAGCTGTCCTACTCTGACACTTGCCCCCCATCCGACTGACAGAGAGTTGAGGCCCCAAGAATCTAATTATAAAATGGCAGTGTGTGTGTATGTGTGTGTGTGTGTGTACAGGTTAGAGAACAACTTTAGGTGGCATTCCTCAGGTGCCATCCACATTTCTTTTTGTGAGACGGGGGTCTCTCACTGGCCTGGAACTTGCCAAGCTGACTGCCCAGCAAGTCCCAGAGATCCACCTGCCTCTGCTTCCTCAGCCCTGGGATTACAAGCACACGCCACCACACCTAGCAATTTTTTTTAACATGGCTGTGAGCTTGAACTTGTTCCTGTGAGGCAAACACTTTACCGACTGAGTCATCTCCCCGGCCTAGGAAATGGGAGCTTTGAAGTCAGGAAACCTTACTCCAATTTACTTGACATCTTTAATAAATGCCCTGTATGTTCTTAGGGAACTCTGGGATTTTACCCAGCTTATTCTTTTAGAATTTAAAAGTAATTGCCTCCCTGTCCAAATTGAAGCAGGAAGGGACCTCCATCGTGGTGTGGACGTCCTTGTGGGGACATACACTGAGATGGAATTTTTATTTGAGGAAATATTAAGCTAGATAGGTTTTGCACAAATTCCTTTGGAGAGCTTTTGGCTTGACAACCTCATTTCAATCACGCTCGAGAAGGAATTGCGTGCACCCCCGCCTCTGCTCTTGCCCTCCACCCTGCCTTAGTTCTATATTCCTGACGCCCTTCAGAGTTGCAGCACTACACCTCCCTGCAGTCCTCCACCACCGCAGGCACCCCTCCTCTGCCCTCAGGCTGTCCTCCCAGGACCACCCATCCCTGCCACAGCATCTTTGTCTGCCCCCAAGTCCTGGGTCAGCATCCTTCATCAGGCAGTCTTGCTCCCTTCAGCTCTTCAAAGCTCTGAGCCCTGATGTCCAGCCATCGAGTCTCAGGTCTTCAGGACAAGCACCCAGTGGCCCTGCCTCTGAGGCAGCCCTCAGTCCTAGATCTCACTTGGTTGTGGTGGTGCTCACGTGCGCCTGTCAGAAACCAGCACTGGCTGGCATGTGTACTAGCAGGAAAGGTGGGTGCTAGCCCCTTCTGATCACTCCCTTCCCCACACTGCCCTTCCTACACTGCCCTCCCCTGCAACTGTTTGTTGAATGAATAAGCAATGTGTTGGATTTTTTTTTCTAACTCATTTATTCTTTTCTTTTGCCTGGGAAGGTGGGGAATCAGTGTGAATAACAATTGCGTCAATCACCTTGACTTCCTGAGAGCACTGGAAATCAGCACGACCAGCAGACCTCGCCAAAAGGAAAAGGAGGAGATTGCACCCATCACCTTTTCCAGGCTGAACCCTGGGGACTTGATAAAGAGCATGCAGGCCATGGTGGACTGCTCCCAGCAGGCTCTGTTAAAGGTAGGCAGACTGCCAAAAGCTTCATTGTGTGAGCCTCATCCCCGGCCCCCAAGACCCGCCCACATCCCCCCAGTCTCCTGGGCATCTAATTAATCAAGATGGGGTTGTTTATTTGAGCAATTGTGCGCCTGCTTTTGCTCTGTAAAGAGCTGTCCAGGTTCCGCCCAGTGTGTTGAGATGGATTCAACAAGCGATCTGAGCAAGATAAAACCAAGGGGCTCAGGCACAGCAGGCAGAGAGACCTGGCCTCACGCGAGGAGGACGGTGAGGACAGCACCGGTGGTTGTCCTCTGACCGCTACACTTGAGCTTTCATACATGTGTGCCTACATGCACACACATGAATGTGCACAAAGATAAGTTTTTAAAACAAGGACACAGGCAGTGGGTAAAAATGGGTTCACCTACCCCGTGAGCCCTGCCTGTGTGGCCAAGCAAGGGACCAATGGGGAGAGTGACATTAAAGCGATCCTCAAGGTCTTAACACAGGAGCACAGCTCTCACCTCAGAGGGGTTAGGAGAGTTTGTTCTGGAGCCGAGTATGAGTGACCATGGCCCGAGAACACAGAGTCAGGTCACCCCAAATTCCATGTTCCAACTTGGATGCAGTTTCATGAAATTTTTGTGGTAGCAGATCAAAGAAAGTCATAAATCAAGACACTTTTCAGACACGTTGGTGGGAACACTGAGTAGGTGATTACAGCAGAAGAGAATGCTCAGCTATGGGCCAGAGATATCCGACACCCAGCTCTTTGGCTGGTAGAAACTAGGGCTTTGTTAAGTTAAAGCATTCCCAAAGGTTTTACCTGTTAGTCACAGGATGTTGTCAGAAACAGGTACATCAAGAAAGGCTACATAGAGGGCAAAAGATAGCCCAAGATAAGTTGTGATTAGGCTCTGGACCTGCAACATTCCTACCTCCCCGTAATCATCGAAGTTCTAACCAATTGATTAGCCTTGCAGAAGGCTAGGTTTGAAGATGCAGGGTTCGTTTTTTTTTCTGGGAATTTTCATTCATAAAGAAGTTGAACAGCCCAGGCTGTGTCACAAAGATTGTGTCGTGAAGGAGACCAGAAAGCTGGGGGTTATCCCAGCCTGACCTCTCACCCCTGGGTGGCCCTGTGTGCTGCCAGCTGTGCTGGCAAACAGTGCTTGGGGATGGATCTTGCTTCTGATACAGTGTGGTCCCCAGCCTGGTCCAAGGGTGAGGGTCCTTCCCCAGTCAAGGGAGAGAAAATGAAGCCCAGTGTGCATGCTGTGAGCATCCTGTTGGAAGCCTGTACTCCCAGCCCCGATGACTGCAGTCAACTTGCACTGGAGGGTTCACTCAAAGCTGATAGGATCACGTGCATGAGGCCTCCAGGGGAAAACGCCTCCATACTAGGAAGGTTCAGCTGGCACTGACTAGAAGCTTCCAGAGCAAAGCTTTACAGGCAACCTGCTCCTGCTAGCCGGGAGCTGTGGGGTACTGCCAATGCTGGTGGGATTCCATGAGTCTGTCTCTAGTTGAGCATAGCTGGCAAGGTGGGGTCATTCACTCTGTTCTACGGGAGGGGAAACAGGCTCAGGGTTCATGAACTTGTCACAGCCCCACAGGTAGAAAGAGGAAAGGGACCAGTCCTCTCCCTTCTTAACCAAATCCAAGTGGTCTTAGGAATTAAAGTCCCAGCTGGGTGTGGTGGTACATATACTTGTAGTCCCAACGCTTGGGAGGCTATGACAGGAGGATTGCTGCAGGCTATAGGCCAGCCTGATCTCTATAGCGAAACCCCATGTCCTGGGGTAGGTGGACCTTGAGATCTTTCATTGAAACTGTTGCTATCCATTGCTTGTCAACAGGATCAAGTTCAGCCTCCCAGGTTGTGAAGAGCCCACAGCCGAAACCCAGATGCTGAGGCAGGCCAACAAAATCAGCAAACTCAGATTAAGCCTGTGTTTTGTTTTGATTTTGTAATTGAGACTTACCTCTTCCCTCACATGGGGAGGCAAGGTGGGTTCTGGAGTCCAAGAGGGAGGAGGGCTTAATGGGGTGAGAAGCAGAGAGGCAGGTTTGGGTCAACCAACTGGGAGATACCAGGGAGCTTGTCCTCTGTCCTGCAAAGAGGCTTTGCCAATCTCTGTAAGAACTCCAGTCTTTAACTGTTACTTAGAGGAGCTATAGGCAATTTGTCCACAGTACTGTGGCTGTGGTCAGCTTAAGGAGGCCACCTTGCCTTGGTCAGTTTCAGGAGAACCCACCTGGATATGGGCCCATTTTTCAGGTTTTTTTGGAAGCACTGTGGTGACACAGAAACCCACACCCAGGATGGCTTGAGCCCTGATGATCTAAAGTAGCATAGCTTGGCATCTGCCAAGATGTTTCTGAAACTGGGGTTCACCAGCCTCAGGGAGGAGTGCAGGAAGTGGGGGGGGGGCGGGGCAGGGAGGATGGAGAAGAGGCTGAAATTGAGAGAGGTCAAGTACTTAGCTGAGCAACCCAGCCCAGCCTCTGGTGCCCAGGACTGCCTCCTCCATGGCTGTGGGCTGATCTACACTCAAAGCTCTGCGGTATGGTATTTTCAGGTTAATTGACTTATGCATGCTCTGCACCCTGGGTGTGCCTAACCAGCACAGAACGAGAATGAAAGCTCCAGGGAGCTGGGCTCCGGGTTTTCAGCCACGTTAAATTCTTACTTTAAAAAAGAAGCATTTTAATCCACCACTTGATACAAATTTCCTAGCTCAATAAAAATGAATGATTTTGTTTCGACAGATGGAAAAAATGTGCCTTCTTTTTATAGCACATTTTTTACACCTCAGTTGGATGACTGCACGGCTGGTGTTGCACTGTAGGCCCAGGGCCTGAGGCATAGGCTGGGATGGCAGGGTCCTCTCCCTTTGTAGCCCCCTCCCTCCAGAGCCCTAGTCACCCTCTTCCTCAGACCCCAGTTGCAGCAGGGGAGGCCACTTTCCTGTGGATCTGGGCAATTCTCACCAGCGTCATGACTTATAACGGTTCAGCATCCATTAGGATTTACCTGCTCCATCTTCATTCAGCAGAAATGATGTCAATAGGAAATAGTGTGAATATTCACTTGCAAGTAGGATTTACCATCTTTTCCTTCTGTATTTTTAGGCATTTTCTGCTTTGGATAAAGAGGACACGGGATTTGTAAAGGCTACAGATTTTGGAGAGGTCCTTAAGGATTTCTGCCATAAACTAACAGATAACCAGTATCATTATTTTTTGAGGAAGCTAAGAATTCATCTAACACCCAACATACACTGGAAATACTTCCTGGAGAACTTTAGCTCTTTCCTAGAGGAGGTAAGTGGTCCTCAGTGCAAAGTGTCTCTTGTAAACAGAGGCTAAGGTGGGTAACTGATTGAAACCACATGTTTAGTGCATTCTAAATGAAAAATCAGGATAAATCCTGCATGGAACACTGGAAGTTGGATTCATCTCCTCTACTTTGTGAGAAAATATTTTATCTTCTTTCCAAAGCCCAGGAGCTTGCTTTCGTTGATATATTTTAGCTTTAGATCCTAGAAGATGATCTGACGCCCAGAGAAGTGAGGCCTACTGTGGCCAGGCCGCTGACTGTGTGCCAGGCCGCTGACTGTGTGCCAGAGGCAGAGGTGGACATGGAGGTATGGGTTCTGACAGATGCAGGAATGGAGAGGGTTTCCTGAAGGAGACGCAGCTCCCCACAGGGCTCTTCTCTCTGTGGTCCCTGGGCAGGGCTCTGGCTGTACATGCCCCTCACTTTCAGGTGGCTCCTACTAGCTACCAAGCAGGCTAGCACCTCTGGCAACAGTCCACCTGGCCCCACAAGTGGCCAGCATTCCATAGCTAATGCTTCCCTGCGCTGGCTGCTCTGGTCCTTTCCAGTTCCTGTGTACGTGTGACAGTCCCTGAACACCCAAGCTCACAGTCCTTGGTAGGGTATCTCTGAATCCCTAGATCCCCAGAGTAGATGGCACTAACCTCCTAATATCCCCCAGTTTTCTAGGGGACACTGACCCAGTCACACTGAGTGATCTCCCCGGTGAGTGCTATAGGACCTGTCAGGCTCTGCTTCTTTGAGCATCCCCAGCGCTGTTGTGTCACGTGTTCTTGGGTCATGTACTCTTGGACCTTGTAGCCAATGGTATTGACGCTCCCTTCCATGGTCGTTTTTTCCTGCTTAGTAGTTGGCATTTAAGATTCATCCTTTTTTTTTTTTAAACAACAATTTATTTTCAGGTAATTATTTAAAATTAACTTTGCCAGTATATACTGTAAAGGGACAATAACATAGACAGGTGATAGTCCTATTATGACTTTTTCAGTACTGGAAACTGTATACAACCAAGAGTACATGCCCTCAGCCCAGGATTCCATCTTGATATTTTGCACCTCACTTCAGTCTTTCATGTGGAATGTTGAAAAAAGTGAAAGTTATCTAAAAACTGAAATTGACTTCTCACAGATTATTTTTTCCTGCCCTGTAATTTTGCTACATGGAATATTACAGTATGCATCCATTCGCCTTTGGTTTATTTGCTATGCATAATTCCTGTGTGACATGGTGAGTGTTTTGTGTCAGTACTTTGTTCATTCTTTTTGAACTTTTATTATCATGAAAATAAGTGATATGCTCATTCATGTAAGTGTGTTTCCATGACTCACATAGGTATTTCTTGAAAAGAACTGAACATATTGGAGCATCATTTTTGATTTAGAGACTGTGCTGGATTCATCCTTTTTTAAAAGTTGGTACTTTGTGTGTTGGTACATGTTTTTGTGTGGGTGCAAAGGTGCACATACGTGTGTGTGCACACATGTGTGTGTATGAGCGTGTGTGTGTAGAGGCCAGAGATCAACCTTAGGTATTGTTCCTCAGGAACCATCCATCTAATTTTTATTTATTTTTGCTTTTGCTTTGGTTTTTGATACACGGTCTCTCATTGCCCTGAAGCTCAAAATGTAGGCCATGCTGCCTGGCCAGCAAGCTCAAGGGCGTCTGCTTGTCTTATACATGTGCAGCAAGCACTTTACCAACGGAGCCATCACCCCAATCCTCACCCCCATCTTTTTTTTTTTTAATTTTCGAGACAGGGTCTCACTTTAGCCCCAACCAGCCTGGTCATCCTGCTGCGGCTGTCACCGTCCAGTGCATTCCCATCCGTTCCCAGCCACCACACTGTGGCCTTGTTTGTTGACTTGCTGGTGTGATGGTTGAAGGGGTGGCTGCCTCTCCAGCTCCAGGGACCCTAGCTTGCCCTCCCTGCCTTCCCACACCCCACGACAACCTGACCCCGGGATCCCTGTGCTGCAGAGCACAGGCAGCATCCTTCCTTCCTGTATGCCCTTCCCCTGTTTGGGTCCCTCCACAGTCACCCGCATGCTTCCTGTCAGCCTGCAAGTACCAGGCATGGGATTCACAGACGATGGACAGATGTGATCCCTGCCCAGGGGACAGGGAGCAAGGGCTAGGTCACATACCTGAGGCTGGTTTGTGCTGTAGACCAGCGGCCAGCTGGAGGAGACATGCGTGAGAGGGAGGTATGGAAGAAGGCCCAGAGACCTCCAGGGGTGATGGCCACAGGCCTAGATCAAGGTGGGAGGAGCCATGTCAGCGTAGGGCTGCCCCCAGTGCATGGATGACGGCAAGGTCTGTTGGAGAGGCTGGCAGAGGTGCGCCAAGCAGTGGTGGCTCAGGGTCCTAAGCATGCAGAGTGACACGGTGGAAGTGTCCAGGTCTGCTCAGGCTGTTGCAATAGAAGACCTGAGGAGCTCTAGACATGGAAGAGGCGGGCTGTCATCTCAGTGGGTGCAGTCCCACTGTGGACTCTGTGGTTGTCCTTACTCAGGACCCACTGGGGGCGAATGTTACTAAGACTCCACCTGGGACAGTTAGCTTCCCTTACACTAGCTGTTACGGATTCCCTTTACAAGAGTCACCTCACTCAGGATGTGCCTTTCCCAATACCCTGTGAGGCTTCTGGAAGAATGGCCAACTGAGGGATGGCCAGTGTGCACAGAAACAGGAGCCCGAGGGAGGCCAGGCCGCAGCCATGCTGCATCCCACCCTCTGCACACTGCTGGGCTCTTAGAGCCCAACTGTACCACACTAACACTGGCCTAGGAGGGTGCAGGACACTTGGCTAAGGTGCTCACCTAAGAACGGGCAAACCAGGATGACAAGTTGAGCCAGAGACCTAGGAGTCAAAGGACTAGGAAGTCCCCATAAAGGAACCCCACCAGGGATGGGGGTTCCCCTTGTCCTGTTCATCCCACCAGTTTGGGCAGGAAGCAGTCCATCATGCTTGGCTACAGAGTGTGGTCACCTTGCTCTGGACCATGAAAAATGACTGGGAACTCCCCAACCAGGATGGGTAGCTGGCTCGAGTGGGGCCGGGATGGTCGTGTTGACAGGGGAAGCAGACTATTCATCACCAAGCCTTCCAAAGCTTAACAACCTGGGAGTTTTTAGTAGAAGGAAGAGGGTAACAAGTAACACTTGGCAAAGCTTTACTTAAGCTCATTAAATAGGACACCAGTGCTCCTATCCCCTAGGGGGACACACAGGAGACAAGTAATTAAAAAGAGAGTACCTCAGAGTAATTAAGACAGCCAACACCTCCCTCGAAAAGGAAGTTGAACAGGATCACCCCCAGCTGTTACCTGAAAGAGAAGCGGGATTGTGCTCATGACCGCATACAGCCTCGAGTAGCTAGAAAGAGCCTGACGCAGCTGCCAAGGGGTGCTGGACTTCACTCTCTTCACCTGTTTGTCAAACTAAGTGCCTCTAGGTCTCTCCTCAAAGACGTTTATCGATCTTCTGTCTTGTCACCATCACGGAGGCCTGTGGAACTCGAGCCCTTCCCATCGTCACTACCTCAGACTTTCCCATACGGGTCCTGGCTCTGCCCTGAAGCTGGTCTCCCCTGGCTCCTTTTGCTTCTAGAAGCACCAATGGGCTTAGTGCCCTGCAAAGTGCCACTTGTGCAACCAGGTCTGTTGACACTTCCCATGCACAGTACACTCAAGTCACAGCCAGTCCCATGGTCACAGAGGCCAGTGGGCCCATGAGAAGGTGAAGGTGAACCCAGGATCCCTTGACATCAGAAACCCACCATACCTAGTACAAGATGAGACACACCAGCCTCCCAGGCATGCAGCAGGAGGGATGAGTGTTGGAGCTGACATGTGACCCAAGCAAGCATGAGCTGGTTAGAGGGCAAAACAGGAAACAAGGGTGCGTCTGAGTGACAGCACAGGCCCCTCTTCCGGGCTTCCACCAGCCCCATGACAGCAGCACACACCTGTCCCTCCGCCAATTCACTCTCATCTAAGGAAAACACTCCACACTCAGAGTGCTTTGCGTGGGGGATGGCATCACCTCCCTTGTGGAAAAATCACTTCTGCCCAATGTTTTCTTTTACCTCTTAAAGGCCAATTTCAGTACCATTAATATAAAAACAAAACTCAGTGCAGACATAGGAGTCTTAAGGACTGTAATAGAAACCATATGAAATCTTAACACTTTATTACCATGGAAATAATGGAATTCAAAAAAAAACCCACAGCACTTATCTAATGTAATTATTTTGTCCCGTTCTCACAGGCAGAGAGCCAGTAAGAGCTTGCCTTGCTTTGTGTTTGTGACATGCATGACCTTTAGAGTTGCTCATGGGTAAACCACTCGATGAGTTTCCCCCAAGAGAACTGAAGTTGGTGGTTTTCACTACAAAGTGCACAGCAACACCCGAATCTTCTACAGACCGCACAGCTGTACCGGTCACCAGATTTTATCAGGGTTATTAATGTATGTTTCCTTTTATTATAAATATGACATGGATTTTTAATGAACATGATGAGCAGCAAAAAGATTTCCTTTCTGGGCAGGGGCTCTAGGATGACTGGAGTTAGCCAGAGTTGATAGGACATCATCATGAGTACTGTGCGCTCCTGACGTGAAGAGCGGCCAAAGTCCAGATGGAACCTGGAGGTGTGGCGGGAACCCGCTCCCTGGGCACTGGCTAGTGAGGTTCTAGCGCAGTTGTCCTGGAGACCAGCAGAGCTGTGTGTCGTGTGACTTTTCCTGGAGAGATATGAATAAACATCTATTCACCTCGGCCTCAGACAGGAGCACTGACAACAGACCGAAGAAATGACTCCCCGGGTCCAGCTTGAGACCAGCGAGCACACTGTGGTTACATACAGGAGCTTGGGTGACTCAGAGGCAACTGGGTCAATGAAAACCCACCCCAGCGTGGGTGACAGCTCACAAAAGCTGCATCCCTGGAGCTCCCTCAGCAACTTGTAGGCCTCTTGGCTAG